TCTATCTATCTATCTATCTATCTATCTATCTATCTATCTATCTATCTTCTATCATCTATTTAGCTATCTATCATCTATCAACTATCTATCTCTCATCTATCTAGCTAGCTGTTTAGCTATCTATCTCTAAATCATCTGTCAACTCTCTATCTTTCTATCTATCACCTATCAACTATCTATCGCCCTTTCTCCTCTCTTTCCTTTTCCCTCTTCCCCATCTCTCCTATTCCCCTTTCCCCCCTCCCATCTCTTCTCCTTCCTTTCACCTTTTTCCACTTTCTCCCTCTCTAGTATGGATAATCACTGCATGCAGGTTGGAAGGCATTTTCTCCTACATAGTTCCTCCCCGCCCCCCAAGACAGGGTTTCTCTGTGTAGCCTTGGCTGTCCTGGACTTTGTAGACCAGGCTGGCCTTGAACACACAGAGATTCCCCCTGCTTCTGTCTCCCAAGTGCTGGGTTTAAAGGCGTGGGACTCCATTGTCCAGCGGAAGGCATTTTCTTTTCAGTTCTATTACTTAAAGAAGGCAGTTTCTTGTTGCTCCTAATAGGTCTCTTCTGTTGTTTTGAGACAAGCTCTCACTATGTAGCTGAGAGTGGCCTGGAGTTTGCTGTGTAGCCCAGACAGGCTTTGAATTTGTGATTCACCTGCCTGAGCCTCCCAGTACTGGAATTACAGGTGCACCACTATGCCTGGCTTCTAGCATGTCTCTCTCTCTCTCTCCTTTTCAGATTATTTATTTATTATTTATACAGCATTCTGCCTGCATGCGTGCCTGTGCACCAGATCTCACTATAGATGGTTAGGAGCCACCGTGTGGTTGCTGGGAATAGGTGTGCTCACGCTGTCCCCTCAACTCTGCTGTTAAACGATACAGGTTTTAGAGAGGAAAGACCAATTTGTGATCCTCTTCCATGGCTATCTCCTACCCTAACTGAGACTGCAGACGTGAGTTTGAACATAGCTGTGAGAAATCTTTATCTGAATGTCTTTTAGGTCCTCAGACATGTCCCCTTGAGGCACATTGCTTCTCCTGTAAAGGGACACATGTTCACACTTCTGGTTTGGTGAAAGAGGTTAAAGGAATAGCAAAACACAGGCCAAAGCTGAAGACTGGGGTCCAGAGAGACGGAGTCACAGGGGCGCTGTGGATTGGGTGTGGAGAGAGAGACATCGGGCAGAGCGTGGGTGAGGGGCAGGGTTTTACTGGCACGTGGGACTCTACCGGTAAGACCCTTCCTTTTTGTGACCAGCATTTACAGGGAGGGCCTGAGAGCTCTCAGTGCTCAAATTAGGGCCTTTCTTGGGTCTGTCCAGAGCTGGATGGCCCCACAGGTCTTCCCATAGAATCTGGCGGTCCCAAGGACCCAGAGGAAAAATGAGACTCACAGGACCTTTGGTGAAGGTGATGGGGCCGAAGTAGTTGGCATCCATGATCTTTTTGTCGAGCTCCAGAGAAATCTTGTGGGCAGGCCCCTTCACTTTCACGCTGGCGTTGTTGATGAGGATGTCCACACAGCCGTAGCAGTCCAGGACTTCTTTGGCCACATCTTGAACACAGCTAATGTCTGAGAGATCCAGGAGGACCAGCTTTGGGGTGAATGTCTGCCGGAGCAAGGAGAGAGTCAGGGCATGTTTGGGATTACCTCTGTGGAGATGTTGGGACCCTCAATCAAACAGCTACCCTGCTGGGAATTTGAAGTTCTAGAATAACTAAGACCAAGGGGAGAGAATAAAACAACTCTCTGTGGGATGGAGGCGCTCGCTGGAGAAACTAGTTTTGGAGACCAGGGCAGCAATTCAGTGTGAGTACGTAGCAGTGATTCTGAGCTTGTGGCCAGGGCTCCTCAGCTGACAAAACCATTCCTGACAACCAGGTGGCCCTTTGGAGGCTGTGAACTGACCCTGTTGGTGGCACAGTAACTTTGAACTTTGTAACTTTGGTTCCTTGGAAATTGCTTACCCATTTGGTTTATAAGTTACAGGAGAATTCAGCACAGCCATTGGCAGCCACCCCTTGTTTTGAATCAAAATTGTGTATCCCACACGGCACTTTTGGAGCATCTATTATGGGCGAGTGTTGTACTGGGCTCTGGTCACTTGCTGTCCTCAAGACGCTAATGCCTTAGAAGTCAGGTGGGGGCAGGGCCCGGCAGTGCCCTGGAGTCAGCCCAAGGTTTGGGCAAATGTTAGTTCCGATATACACCCTTGAGAAGGTTCCCATGGTGGATCACATCTGTTGGGGAAATATTTGCTGACCTCCAAGTTCCTTGGAGGAAATGAGTGCCAGCATATCAAAAGGCTCTGGAAAGTCCTTCAGTAAAGAACCTGAGCTGAGCTGCACCGGAACCCAGTATTTCCCACACAGCTTTGTTTTCACCCCAAACCTACTAACACCCTGAGCAAGACTCCATGTAACATCCTGTGCCATTCTAGTCGATCTGTCTCCTCAAGCGCTGGGGTAGCTCTGAATTCTTCTGAGCTGTTTGCAAACCTCAACTTCAATCTCAGGAGTAGAGACTAGTTTTTTTTTTTTTTTTTTTCAATGCTGAGGACCAGGGAAGGCAACACCTGCCACCTGGGTGGCTCGGGAGGGGGCTTCCTTGATTCCTTCAACTCAACTGTTAATTGTGGTGTTTGTTTGTCTTAATGTCATCTATATTTGTTATCACAGCCCACAGCTGGGACACCCGCTCTCTGGGCTTTTTACGAGTCTGACCAACATAGACTCCGGGGATCAGTGCCTAAGTCTTCCCGTGATCAAAACAAGCCAGCGCCTTTTGTTGGGCAGACAGGCCTCTGCCTGGGTCAATGCCAACACCTCTGAGTTCTCCAAAGCTGCTGTCACATTTCCCCCGAATCGCCCCTTACTGGGGCTCAGGGTGTCCAGAACTTCCTCAGGTTGTCTGGAGAGAGCCCTACCTTGCTGGGGTCAGCCACACTGGTCAAGGCATCGTACAGGCTCTCCAGTCTCTCCCAGCTCTTCCCACACAGCACCAATCTTGCTCCACCCGCATGGAACACCCGAGCACACTCTGCGGAGAAGAGGGAAGGGAGGCAGGCTGTACTGTGTGAATGGAGCTGTAACAGAGAGTTCCCATCTTAGGAACTGCTGACATCATCCATGTGATGTCATTCATCACCGTGAGGCCCTCCTATCGGAGGACGCGTTTCATTTGATCCACTCCCCAGGCTAGATGTTTTAGAGGGGCTGAGGTTTGAACCCCAAGCTTGCATGGGTTAAGCAGGTACTCTAGCACTGAGCTGTAGGCTAAGCTAGGCTGGTTGGTTTGCTTGTGGGGTGTGTTTCTAGTCTCAGCTTGGTTGCTTCTGTGGAGGGAAGCTTGCAGCAGGGAGTAACAGCCTCTGCTCTACTGGATAGTTCTGATGAGAATTCCTTCTTAGGATGAATGGAAAGATGGCTCAAACAGCCATAGGGACACCTCAACCTATAGATCTTGCTAAGAGCTACCATGTTCATTCAGACCAAATACCACGCAGCCCTCCATATTTTCTCTGTGGATAGAGACCCTAGTCAGGGGTCTTTGCTCACAGACCAGTCTACACAAAGAACTTCAGGCAGTCGAGTCAAGCTGGGAGCAGGAGAGGTGGCCTTCCCCAGGGAAGAACACAATTGGTTGTCCAGTACCAGATGGTCAGCCCTGAAAACATACATACACATGACTTTATATGGACTTTATATGTATATTTACATACATGTGTATACAAATACATATATGCTTGCAATAAACAAGTAATGAAAGAAGAGGTCACGAATTTGAAAGAGAGAGGGAGGGGCATACGGGAGGGCTTGGAGTGAGGAAAAGGAAGGGAGAAATGTGATTAAATTACAATCACAAAAGTAAGCAAAAAGAAAGACAAAAAAGTTGATTTTGCTTTATGCTTCACTCTGAAGTAATCCCTGATTAATCCAATATAGAACTCTTCTTATCTTTTCAAACATTTGCTTATTTATTTATTCTGTATACAGGCTTGTGTGTATTGACATGTTCACGTGTAGCGTGTACATATGTGGAGCTCGGAGGACAACCTGCGCGAGTTTCTCCTTCCACCACGTAGGTCCAGGGATTGAACTTAGGTAACCCGACTTGGTGGCAGACACCTTTACCTATTAAGCCATCTTTAGAGCAATGACTGGCAGATATGCAGCCTTCTCATGTAGCAATAATCTTGATACTTTAAGCCAGTAAAAGCTCACGTGTTTGGGCTTTTTGTTCTAGGGATGACTGAGCGAGACACCCGTGTATTTGTGCAGCTAATTCTCACTGTGGCCATGGGAAGGCCTAGCTTAGGCTGGGCCTTCTGAAGCAGCAGCTGGACGGAGTCTAAGCCGCCTGCATGTGCGAGGACCACCGTTTGCCCACTTCAGTCCGTCAGCTGCTGACCGCGTTGTCCCCTCTTGGAGGAAGGGCCTCGATGGCAGCACTCCTCCACAAGGTGGCGCCCACGGGTCCAGGATGAGCCCCAGAGCCTTAGCAGCCAACATTCACAGTACCGGAAGGATGGATGAACAGGGATGAATGGACCAAGCTCTACACCTGACAAAGGCACCAAAAGCGCCCACTCCAGTGTGGCACCCAGTGTTGTCCCATTTTGTGCCAGGAAGTTGTGGACCTCAGTTGACTGCAGGCACTTGAGGACGGCTCAGCCTGGGTGTTCACCTGAGGCTGGGTATCTCTTTTTTCTTTTAATTCTTCCCCCATATTCTATTCTGATTATAGTTTCCATTCCCCCCATTCTTTCCAATCTCTCCTCTACCTCCCCTTTCTCCCAGTTCCACTCCCCTTCCAATTCCCTTAAAAAAAAGGCCTCCCAGAGATATCAATCATGTTAAACGTGGCTTAACAAGCTACAATAGCAGGCACAAACCCTCATAGCAAGGCTGGATGAGGCAGCCCAGTAGGAGGAAAAGGGTCCCGAGTGCCTGCAAAAGAGTCAGAGAACTCTCTACTGCCACCATTAGGACAGCAGAAGAACACCAACTACAGAACCATAAGGTATATGCAGAGGACCTAGCTCAGGCCCTTGCAGGGTCCATGTTTGTCGCTTCAGTCTCTGTGAGCCCTTACGAGCCCCACTAGTTGATTCTGTATTGTTCTTGTGTGCTCAACCCCTCTGGTTCCTACAATCCGTCCTCCCTTTTCTACAGGGTCCCCCTGGCACTGCCTCATGATTGGCTGTGGGTCTCTGCATCTGCTCCCATCAATTGCCGGATCACATCTCTCTGCTGACAGCCAGGCTAGGCACTTATCTATGAGCACAGCAGAATACCATTAGGAATTATTTTAGTGACTTTCTGTTTGAGGTTTCGTATCTTAAGCACAGCAGTTCTCAGTGACCTCGTGGGTGTGGGAATTTGCTCCTGTAGACATAGTAGCTTGATGCAAGTGGAGAGGAGAAGGTCAGCTGGACAGGACAGATACTGGGGTTTCTATGTGGGCACCTTGGACAGGGGGATTGTGGTCCTGGAGAGAACTGAGGTGCCAGATGACGCAAGAGGAGCAGGCATGGAGGTAAAAGGGATGCCGGGAAGAAAAAGAGATTGCACTGCCCTTGGGTCGCAATGGGAACTAAAAACAAGTGCACCGGCCAGGGATGTGGCTCAGTGGAAGAGCATTTGCCTAGTTAATATGTGGGAGGACCAGGGGTTGATCCTAGCACTGCAATAATAATGATAATAATGATGATGATGATGATGATGATGATGATGATGATGATACCAAAGACGAGTACACTGAGAGTAACCGAGGGAGTGGGAAGGTAGGAAGTAGCGGCAGGTTCCCGAATGAGGGACACCTGTACCAAGAGCCTCCTGCATACCAATGTCACCCTGAGTTGTTAGATCTTTAGGAAAAGATGGATTCTCTCAGTTTAGGTGTTTTATTAAGAAAGGCGGCGGGGGCTGAAGAGATGGCTCAATGGTTAAGGGCACATACTGCTCTTGCAATGGGCCTGGGTTTGAACCCAAGTTTGGTTCCCATCACTCATGCCAGGTGGCTCCCAGCCATCTGAAGTTGTAGCCACAGAGGATCTGACACCCCCTGCTGGGCTCCCCGGGTCTCCTACATGCGCACCTCCCCCTACACACATCATTAAAGATAGAAAACAGAAAACAGAAAAGAAAGGGGACATCTGGGATGGCTCTGAGTGACAAAAATCTTAAAAGATATCAATTATTCTCCACATCAATTTGATGCAGAAAATCAAGACCCCAGTGGGTCTTGGAAAGTGACAGTGATTCTTGCATACTTTAATTAGAATGGTGAAGGAAAGTGAAGACTATCCTGAAAAATATTAGCTACTAAAATAAAGTATAGAGCTGCCAAGACTAGAGCAAAACATTAATAGTTCCAGCATAGGTAGGAATTATTGATAAAAATGGACACAGGTATTGATGAGAATGAGGTACTTGTATAGTTAATCGATTGAACCGGTGGGAAAACAATATATTAATTAAAAAATATGGGGGGGGAGGGTGGCTGGTGAGATGGCTCAGGTAAAAGAGAGCACTACTCTTGCAGAGAACCTGAGTTCTCAACACCTGCCTCAGGCCCCTCACAACCTGTAATTCTAGCTCCAGAGGCTCGGGCGCCCTCTTCTGGCCTCCACGGGCACTGCACTCATAGGCGTACATCCCCTCCCCACACACTTAAGTTTAAAATAAAATGAATCTGTAAAAAAATAGTATCTGGATGCTTATTTGGGAGGGAAAAGGCTAAATGCATCACATTATAATATATTAGGTAGTTAAGTGTTTTCTTACGCTTAATCACAAAAGAGATAGAGAGACGAATCTGCCTTCTTGCTGGGGAAGATGTTCTGAGCATGCCCCAAAGAAACAAACTATATCAGAACTGATTTATAGATTTTACGCTTATTTTTTTTTTTTACAGAAAAGACATAAATAAAGAACAAGCAAATTAAGAAAAGCACTTATAATACATACGTCAGCAAAGGGCTAATTTATTTGATATGCAAAGGACTTCTACAAATACGAAGGACCAACTGGAAAAAAAACCCACACAGTTAATGAACAGAAGATTAAGCGTTAATACTCATGACATGATAAAGAGATGTAATTTAAAGTACGCACTAATTTTGATGCATCAGATGATGAAGAGCAAAGCTGATCACAGTCTTAATGAGATGCGGGTTTGTCTCACATTCACGCTAGCATCTGTATGAATTGCTACGGGTTTTGGAAGAAAAATTTGACTGTATTCTTAAAAGGGCTTTGATTTTAGCAATCTTATTTATGGGTATTTCTCCTGAAGCAATCGTTAAGAATGTTTGCGTAGACACAGCTGTAATATTAAGCAATCTTACAATACCACGATCAACAGTAAAACACTGGCAATAATTGCAAATGTCCTATAGTAAGAGGTTGGTAAATCAACTACAGTACATCTAGAACAACTTTTTTCAAGCCATTAAAAATGATTTTGCAAAGATGAATTTGTTGGTGTAAAAAGACATTAATATTAAAGTAAGTTTAAAACATAAGAGAGGGGGCTGGAGAGATGGCTCAGTGGTTAAGAGCACTGCCTGCTCTTCCAAAGGACCCAGGTTCAATTCCCAGCACCCACATGGCAGCTCACAACTGTCTGTAATGCCAATTCCAAGGGATCTGACACCTTCACACTAATGCACATAAAATAAAGTTAAGTAAGTAAAAAACAAAAAAACATAAGAGCATTGGGAACATATTATCAGGGGCTGGAGAGATGGCTCAGTGGTTAAGAACACAACCTTACAGAGTCCTTGAGTTCAGTTCCCAGCACCCACTTTGGGGTGGCTTATAAGTGCCTGAAACTCCACCTTCAGGAGATCCGACACCCTCTTTTGGCCTTCCTGCATATCTGTGCTCATGTGCACACACCCACACACAGACACACATGAATACACATAAATAAAAGTGTGTCAAATACAATGCTACAACTTGAATGTGTATGCTTGTGCTTAAAGCGGGGTAGTGCTGTATATATACACCATTAATAGGGCATTAAGTTTTGAA